AGACCCAAGTATGTTGAGCAAACGTAAATAATTTGCACAAGTCACTGCTTTAGAGAGTCAAAAAGTGTACTCAGTTTTTTCACTCAGGGAGCAATTAGAGATAGGGCTAACCCCCAAACTCCTCTGTGTTGTGTTCATACCTCCTGTGTTATTTCTTCATCCCTCCCACTGGGCAGGTTCCAGTGAGCCCAGAGGTTCCTGCTGCCAGGCGAGCAGGGACAGACTCTGGATTCCCTGTCGCTTCTCTTCCTAGGATTAAATAATTTTGCTGCCATGAGGAAGGGATCTCTTTTGTCAGTATCCATAAATATATACTGTTGTTGTTGGTCATTTTCATTTCTTTCCCTTGTGTGTTACCCTTTGCTTTCTAATTCAGTGAAGTCAGGCAGGTAGAGAGAGATGCCCACAATCATTAAAATTAGCACCTAGACCTCCCTTATCCTTATCCCCTATACCCAACTTATTCATTTAATTTTCAGCTTCAGGCAGTGAAGTCCCATTTCTTTCTTTCATTTGCAGTTACATTTCGGTGTCTTTTTGCATACCTCAGTAACTCAACAGTACCTTCTCCAAATCCTGATCTTCCCATCTCCTTTTTTCTAATTATCTATGGCATTGCCCTAAGTACTCTTAACTCTTTTCTCTGCCCTGGGTAATCCCCGTTCAGTTGTTCTCTGTATGTGTAAACACTGACTGTTATGTTACATAATTGTGAGAATGCAAATAATAGAAATTTTTTATCAAAGGGCACAATAAAATATATTTGAATCAAGTCTGCAAAGAGGTATAGAATGCCTGCATTCATGTTTTTTAAAACTGTTAATGCGATGCAGCTGGAGCAGGTTTATTTGTAACCAGAGTCATTTATGATTTTCCATCATAACATAAAGAGCAACTTTGCAGATTTTCTGTGTCTATAAATGTCATCTTGTTTTATTGCATCAATGTGCCAAAGGTAAGAAAACAACTTCTTGCAACAAATTAGGAGTTCCTGTTATTCAGAACCACCATCAAAATTGCTGCCTTGAGGGGGCAGAAGGTCTTATATAAACAAGTTTGAGCGAAGAAAATGGCATCTGTTTTTCTTTTTCTGTTACTTGGAAAAACTTCCCTGATAAACAGGTGAACTTATGTTATAGCTAGTTGAGTTTGGTGTAAATAAGTGCTGAAGGTTTTTGGGGGAGTTGCAAAGATGTTTTGGCATCCTTTTAAAGCAGAAACATTTACACAAATGCATCCAATAATACTGTTATGAATAATAATAAAACCTGTGACTTCCATCCCATAGTTCCATTCCATCAGAATGCTCCAGGTTATTGTGGTTGTAAGAAAATGTTAGGAGTTCAATCCCTTATACCTCTGGTTACGATGCAACACGTAAAATGGTGGGCTTCTGAGATTTGTGCACTACATACAGTGGGAAAAGCTTTTATGTTCTCTTCCAGTCCAGCAGATACATCAGCCAAGCCTTTGACATCTGCCAAAAAATGCATGGGGGATTTCAGGTTCTCTTGATTACTAAAATATATATTCCAACACTCTCTCCCCAGTAAGAATGTACTCTGTGTTGTCAATGTTTTGGTGTGTTCACTGGTATAACACCTTATTGATGTTTGTTTTGCTAGCAGAGTGCATTGATACATTTATCCAGTACTCAAGGACCTATTGAAGTTTATCTGTGCCCAGAGGAAAACGATGCCCTCAGTCCAATGAAAACCTACAGTCAGGACCACAATGGAAATATTTCCAAAACCATTTCCAAAGGTAGAATTATTTCTCTGTAATACTGATGGCTTTTCTTCATGCTCTCATTCAAGATTTCATTTTGAAATTTGGATATCCAGCTCTTATTTTTTGGCTTTATTTCTTTAAGAAGTGAAAAGCTAAGGTACTGATTTTCCACTGTGCCTTTCTGGCTTCTATAGCAGGAAATACGTTTTCCACCACATCAGTTTTTTTAAAATAAATTTCCTATTTGCATATCATATGTGACAAAAGCTTATGCAATATTGAAGAAACACAATTTTGTTCCGTTTGCGTTTTCAAGTAGGACAGTAGCAGTGAAGATTGGCCTCAGCACAAGAGGCAGAAATCTCTGCGTATGGGTATGTGCAGCTCCACAGCGTCACTGTTGACATCTGTTGCCAAGAAAGTTTTCACTTTGACCGTGAATTCCACTGAAGAATGGGCATCTCTCACCACACCTGCTTGAAATATTCCCCCCTCCTCCCCACTAGTTGTTTTTTTTAGTAGAAAAGTCAGTGGTAATAGCAACATCAACATTTTTGAGAAGCCCTTTGTAACTTATCAAAAACAAGCTAGAAGTTCCATAGAAGCCAGTTTGTTGAAGTGCTGCTTAGTGGAAGGAAGGCCCTTTATGCAGTGGGTACTTTGTTTGATCTGTGTCTGATGTTTCTAATGAGATTAAATGTGTCCTCTTTTATTTTTTTTTTTTTCTCTCCCTCCTCTTACAGAAGTGGCTTCTGCTAACTCAGGACAAGGTGACTGCTCAGTAAATATGGCAACAATCTCTCCCCTGGCTTCTCCAGCCAACCTTCTACAGCAGACCGAGGACCAAATTCCCTCAAACTTTGAAGGACCATTTGTGAATTTGCTGCCTCCTCTGCTTCAGGAAGATTATTTGCTGAGCCTTGGGGATGAAGAAGGCATCAGTGACCTCTTCGATGCTTATGATTTAGAGAAGCTTCCTTCGCTGGTGGATGAATTTATATACAGCTGATTACCTTAAACGCTGTCCATATCTAAATCGTGTTTTTAATGGCATCAGAAAACCTGCCATCATTCAGAGTTGTCCCCTAATTACTCTAAAATAGCATTATTCAATAAACTAGGCTCTCGAACAGTGCTGATGTTTTAATTAAATCCTCCCTAAAATACTATAAACAAGACGTGAAGGCTTTTCACAGGAAGGCCTCCTCCCTGACCCTGAGCTCCAGCGCCTTGTGAGTCAGCGAGTGCAAGCAGGTGACTGTACATGTTTTGTCTTCACACTCCCCCAGTCTCTGCTTACCATGACAAGTGGGCTTACGGAGGAGGGCTCAATGAACTGGTTTAGTCCTAAATAACAATTTTATAATAGTATTTCAGGTCGTGCCTTCTGCAGAGAATGCATGTCTTTTGAGTGTCACAACATGGATTGTACCTGCAGTGAACATAAATATGAAGTAATGCAAAAGTGTGAAATGGGATTCTTCAGCTACTCGTGGGAATGTTTAAATTGCTGTCCTAATGCTCATTTTGAGCTGTGTATATGTCTCATTATGAGGTCAAATACTTATGTCCTTAAAAGCTTTTAATAAAAAAATACACTGTAAATGTAGTGTATATTGCAAATATTGAAAAGTATAAAGTTCTGCCACCTCGTAGTAATCACAGATTTTTAAAAATGCTTGTGTGTGTGAAAGTAGTTTTTGTTGGTTGTTTTTTTTAAACTAGAACGAAGATGCACAGTTCAATTTTACTGCCCCCAGCGTGCATTAGAACTGGTACATAAATTTTTGTGGTACTAAGTGGGGCTTTGTGTTAAGTGCCTACTAGAGATGCACTGTGGGTTTTTCCCTCTATGGAAAACACTTATGCCAAGCTTTGTTTGTTCAATATATCATATTTATCTCAGTGGGTTAGCTTCCTCTGCTTACAGCTTTTTATAATTCTCTTCGCCAGCAAAATGGAACTAATTTTTTTCCAAAGTACATAACTGTAAGTACCACATCAACGGAATTGCATTTATTTTTTGAAGATCTTTGGTAGTATAGTATAGTACCAATATTTATTTTTTGAACGTGAGAGGAATTCTAAGAAGTCTTAAATAATTTTTTTTTTTTTTTTTTGAGTGTAAAATATGTTGCCATGTTCTGGGCTAAGTTAATGTTGATTAGATGATGCCTATATAATCCTTTTGTTTGCATTATTGTTGTGCTTATCTGGCATACTCAGAAAATTAGTACTATTTGTACTGTAGTAGAATATTACTTATGCAGGTTTTCTGGTACCATTGAGTTGCTGCTATGAAAGCTCACACATGAAAAGGCAAGAAGTCACAGTACTAATAAGAAAACTGTATGACTGTGTGAGTTTTGGAATATAACAAATGTATAAAGGGCAACACATAAAGAACTGTTAAACAGTGTTAAGTGTGTGTTTATATGTACAAATGTGTGCATAGATCATTCAGCAGTTGTATTTAAGTTGATATATGTTCTCAACTCACACTTTAGTTATCTAGCAGTTTTGTACAATAGAATTAATTTGTAAACACTGCCAGAATATTTTCTAGCTGGTTTGTAATTTTTTAAGAGTTTTTTTAGATGTGGATCTGTAAATAAAATTGTAGTATTTAAAGTTTTCGTCTTGTGGAAGAGGAAAGTAAAAGTTGTGTGAGCATGAAGATTTGCGAGACGAAGGGGCACTTTTGCAGGGGAAGAGGAAATGAAGACTAACACAGACCATCTTTTTTTTGTACAAATTAAACACTTGTCCCACTGTGCGTGGGCAAAATACTAATCTAATTTAGCTTTGCATTGTATGCTAGTTTAAAAAAAAACCTCTGTAAAATACTGTAAAAAAAAAACCAAAACAAAAACAAACAAAAAAACAACAAAAAAAGCTTTTATGGTGAGTTTTGTAAATAGATTTATTAAAGGATGACCTGTTCTCTAGCTGTGATCTTACCACTTCAAATGGATGTAATTTGAATAAATTTTGTATGGTAATGAATCAATAAAAAGGATTTTTTAAAGAGTTTAGATTTGTATACAGCTATTTAAATTCTTCTTACTCTTGGTGCCTATCTTGCTGCTTCTTGGAAGCTAGCTGTTACTATTTTCATTGTTAGTGCTCACACTCCTTTGATACCAGATATGTTTCAATCCTGTTTTTTTATTATGCTAACAATAAGTTCAGTGTTTGGGGTTTTTTTTTAAACCAGAGTGAAACAAGAGAGAGACACATGTAAAGAGACGTAGTAGGAGATCCAGAGGTTGGGATAATACAGGTTTATTTTTACTCCTCTCCCCATATGAATTTTGAACAGACTTCTTGCAAACCTCACAGCAATTGGGTTATTCTAGGATTAAATGATACAAAAGCAGTTGTTGAGGATCTGTTTCACCTTCCTACCGATAATTCTCCATAAGTCTCCTAATAGTAGCTTTGAAAAGGAGGAGTTCTGTTTCCTTGAGTCCTCTCCACCAGTCTCTTGCAGGTGACATGCATTTACTTGTACTCCCTTTTTGGGCTTGGCACTGCAGCTTTCTGGATGCATGGCTATCAATTACTAAAAGAAGAAAAACCTCTTGGGATAATAAAATCACAGTAATACGGTTGTTTGTTTAAATGTTACGCTTCTGAGGAAGTCCTGTGTTTTGGCACTATCCCTGCACACCAGGAGAAGGCTGCTAGTTTCTCTCTGTGTACCTGTCCGTACTCCTCACTTCTGCACGCAGTAGTACTGAAAGGAAGATTGCAGAGATTGATCCCCTGTTCTTCGATTTTTCCCAATAAATGATAACAGAGGGCTAGCGGACCGTGTTCTTTGATCTCCTTTTGAAGCAGAGATGACAATAAATGTCCTTTCTCTGTCCTACCTGTCATCACTCCCCGGCTTGTTTTGTGTCTCTGTCCTACAGCTGCCATAGGCATGTCTTTATTTGCCCCTAGAGTCTGCTACTGATTTCCAGTTTTCATCTCATTTTCTCTCTCCTTTCTATGTCTGCTTCGTAAACTTTGGATGTGCTGAGTCACAGGAGAAAAAAACCAGCCAGTTAAAAATGCTTAATTCTGCTCCCCTGAGCTAGCACAGTGTACCTCAACATTATTCAGTGTAGGAATATTAGTTTCAGGGAGGTTTTATTTGGGCCCGTATGTGCTGCATTCCTTGGCTGCCAGCAGATGGAAGAGGATTTTGAGAAATCTGTCAAAACCAGCCTGAATGATAAGCAACTACACACTCCTTTACATGGAGAGGAGTTTAAAAAAGAGGCCTTCCTGCCCTTAAACCTATGGTGAGTGCTCATCCACCTACAAATGACAGACATCATCACTTTCTATTATTTGTCACTTATACCTGAAAGAGTGAGTTATACCACTGTCTTGATACAGATGTGGACATTTTTGTTGTAGAAATAAAGCATGGAAGATATGTAAGGTACTTTTTGTACCTTGAAGACATTGCTACATGTTTAGAAGCACCAAACTTAGCAGTATATGCTATTTTTTTCTGTAACACAGTTAATGCATAATGCCATTAGCGTTCCTGGAGCCAACAGTTCTCAAGGTTAAGTGAACCAAGAGCCTGTATAGCCAAGTCAGTGGAATGATACTAACAAAAGCATAAACAAGTAGAATTCATCTTCCCATTTTGCTTTTCTTGCCTAAACAAGATCTGCCCGGGTATTACTCTTCAGCTAAGCAAATATCAGCAGAATGCTTTGCCTTTATTAAGTCTGGGAGTTTCTTCACCCACTACTGTCATTCTAAAACTTGACAGGGAGAAAGTGTCATATCTAACAGAAAAAATGGGTTGCTATCAGTTCTGAGTGGTGCTGAATGTTGCTGACAAATGACTAGCCAGAGTCTCCTAGATTGCAGGAGTAGAGGAAGAAATCTAATTTCTTGTATCTAATGTTAAGACTCCCATTTCTTTCCTTTTCCACTTTTCCACCCAGAACTGCATGTTAGTTATCAGAGAAAAAAGTTGTCCTGTAAAAACTGGGCGCTCACTTCGCTGGCTGTTTCCCTTCCCTATGGATGTTAGTTGAGATGCTCTATAACTACTAAGGAAGTATCTGCCACTGGCCATGAGGTGAAATTGAGGTTTGTATTTTATTTTCCTAGTAGTTTTTGTATTTTCCAACTACCTACTCCTGCAAAACCTGTCATCACTTAAGATGGTAATCCAGCCTGAGGCTTTGAGTCTACCACCCCTGAAGAGTAGGACTCAAGGTATGCAGGCAACCTGGAGAGGCTCTGTTCTAAAGCTGGAGCATATATGTTGCCAGTCTATAGGAGGCCAGTACTGGGTCTTGTACTGCCTTGCCCCTCTCTCTTAAAAAGTGGTTTTCCCAGGTGGGTACAGATAAGCTTTCTTCCTGCCATCGAGAGGTGGATGGGAATCAGCTGCTTCCCTTGTTACCTGCTGCGCTACCAGCAGTCCGTGGGCAGCTTTGTCACTATAAATATGCTACAAAGCAATTGAGATTTGTGAGCTTGAAAAGCACTTAAAGTGTGCCTTCTGTGTTGTGGCTACATCCCGGGACTGAACAGGACTGTGCTGGCACAAGGGCTGCTTGATATTATGAATTCCTGGCAGCGGGTCAAAGTAAGGACTCTGCCGGATCATGCTGAAAGTGATCAGCACGGCCTATTTATGTCACTAGGTATGGGACTCGGGGGTTATTCCTGCCTGGGAGCTGCTCTTGGAGCTCCCTGCCTCCCCTTCAAGAGTAGTGGTTTGTCAGTCTTGGCCATTTGGAGGCTTTTGGATGTGTCTCGCAGGCTATCTGTGCTTTGCTCTTTTGGTCAGCCATAAAACTGCGCTGATGTCTGCCCAGTTTTGTTTAACCCGAGAGGTAACGCTTGGCTAGGCAAGATAACTGCGGGGTAATGCAGTGCTCCCAGAATAGAGAAGTCTAATTCAAGGGCTGCATGTGAAATACTTAGAAAACTGAATACGAGCAACCGAAGAGAATTGATAACCTTATCAGGAAGCAGTTAAAATACTGATTGATAATACATATATTTCATTACTTACTGACATACTAAGGACTACTTACACCATACTAAGAAGGAGGATGTCTGAAATAGATTAAAGCAACCACTGATTTTAAAATATTTTCCTCCATTCTCTTCTGGGCTAAAAATGCTGCAAAAATAACGCATTACACATCACTCACTGTCTCACTGAGAGTATATCTGAAAAGTACTTGTGTGCTTAAACAAAGACCAATCACAAAGGCAAATGCATCTTAAGCTGTAACAGTGCCTCTATCATGAGGCCAGGGTGATATTAATAGTGCTCAGTCCTGCCTAGAATGATTTGTTCTTAAAGACTGATTTAAATGAAGTGCCTGTTTCTTTCTGTCCCATTCTCCTCTTCAAATCTCTCCTGTTACTTTGTTCTCATTGTTATCCTTTTTCTGCCACTGAACGTTGTCAGATAAGTGTGACATAAAATAAGCACCAGTTTTTAAGAAAAAGGAGAGGGAGGGGAAGTGATATTCATAGGTAGAAGTTGCCAAGTTTTATCTACTAGTAGACCAATAGGCCTATTATGGAATACACTCAGGGCTTTCATTCACCTTCCCTCCAGTTCAAGGGAGACTATAATCTGCAATCTGGAGAATAAAATAATGATTTGTAAGGCTCCTTCTAAAGAGTGTAACTTAATGATCGAAATGCAATTACAAAAAATAGTGATTTTTGCATTCCAAAGCTGGCTATCTTAAATGAAGTAAATATGTTGAAGATGCAATATAGTCTTTTTAGGTTAACTGTATATATTAAAAACAAAGCAATAATATCATACTCACCCTCTACAACAGTTTGAGCAACAAGGAAACTATACACTTAACCACTTCTCTGCTTAGAGCCCTAGCTTTAGCCATTCAAGTTTAAAACACTCAGACTAGTGTCCTCCGAAATACTAATCAGAAAAGTTGCTAGTAGCCCTAAATTGGAAGAAAACAGTGCCAGAAACTTCAGTCATCTAATATTAAATCTTTTGATCAACGTCTTCCAAACTAAACAGGAAAGTTGCTACTAGCACTGTATTTTGTGGAAAGTAGTGATTAAAAAGAAAAGTGCTGTGGCCATAGCCGGAACAAATAGCTCATCATTCATCCCGATCAGACACATGAGAAACCGACTGTTTTAACCGGATACGTATCGCCGGACCTAATTTTCAATTAAAATTAAAGCAAATCTCCAAGGATTCGGGAAACTCGAGCAGAGGGTGTGCGGCCTTGGTGCTCGGCTGCCGCCCCGGCGCTGGTTATTTGCCGTTGGAAGCGCAGCCACGGCGCGCTGCTGGGGGAAATCCCGTGTTCAACAAGCCGACTTCACCTTCGGGCAGGCAGGCAGGCAGACAGACAGACAGACAGACAGACAGACAGCGTCCGACGTGGCCAAGCAGCAGGGCAGCAGCCGCCTGGCAGGTGGCAGCGGATCCCCGCTCCCACGCGCCCCCCAAAAGCCGCTCGGGCGCTCCGGCCAAAGCGGCGGGCCTCTGCCCAGGGACCGACGGGGCACCCCCCCATTTCTGAGGGCGGCGAAGGAACGACCCCGGCCGCCCTCCCTCACGGCCCCGCGCCCCGCAGCCCCCCCCCCCGCCCCGCCCCGCTCTTTCCCCACGTACTGCAATCCACCGCCGACAGGCGCGCGAGCGGCCGGCCCGGCCCGTCGATCCCCTCCCGCGTTCCGGCCGCGGCCCCGGCCCCGCCCCTCAGGCGCTCTCGCGAGGCCATTTTGGCCGCCGCCGGCCGCCGTCGTGGCGCTGCCGGCGGGAGGCGGGGCGCGATGGCGGAGCCCGGCTGAGGCGGCGGCGGTGAGTGAGTGAGTGAGTGAGTGCGGCGGCTCCGCGGTGACCCCCCCCCCTACCAAACCCCTCCGCACCCCCTTCCCCCGCCCGGCTGTGGGTGCAGTGGCCGTGTCCCCTCCTCGTCCCGCCGTGGGGCCTCCCCTGCGCCCCGCCTTAACGCCGTGAGGGGGGAGAGGGCCCCTCCGGCCCCAGCCCCGCCGGAGGTTTTGGGGGCCGGGTTCCGGGGCATCCCTGCTCCAGGCCGGGCCGGGGGGACACGGCACAAACTCTCCCCGGAGCCGCGCTGGGCTGCGGGTCGGTTTTATTTTCTATTAACGCTACGTTTTTTTTTTTTCTACTCTGGGTAAGCCCGGGGCTAAAAGCCCGGGGCTTTATCGGGGACACCTGTTGGTAAATAGAGGAAAGAGCAGCCCTCTGCCACCGGGGTGGGAATTTTCCCGTTGGAAACTTACTTGGTATGTGCAAGAAGATCAAGGAGGGTGAGCGAAATGGACGAGACCAAAGGAAGCTATGTTTGTGTCAAGACCTTAAAGATGCTTTCACTGGTTTTTATTTACTAACATTTATTTTTTTAAAGAGGAACATCAAGTTCTGTAGGTACAACTAGACAGCATAAGAAGAATATTATTGCCTCTTATTTCAGTCAATCTGTTAGAGTAGCTGTGGGAAACTGTATTTGTTTATTTGCTTGTGAAGAACAGATCTCATGCGTGCATATGGAACTAGTGCAGATATTGAGTAATCTGTTCTAAAAAAAATCTGTACACTGTTTGCAATTAAAAAAGAAGTTGTGAATGTCTTTAACTAAAATTTACTGTTAATCTCTTTAATTTCATTCAAAAATTTAAACTCTTGATTGAAGACAGAAATCTAGAAAAGGTCTGAAATAAATTAAAAACATCAGACTTTGACAAAAAAGTCTATAAAAGAAAGGCAAAAAGATTAGTGCTTCTGCTCAGGGAAGGACAGGGAAAATGTGGCTCCTATTCCACCTTGTCAGCCAGTCAGCATGTGTATCTGGTCTTAACAAGGTCACACTGAGCAGGAAACTTCTTTTGGCACAGGGAGGATGAATGCTATTTGGACAATAACACGAGCTTATGGTTTTCTGTATGCTAGTTCTGCTTGTTCATGCTATGTCTTTTTTCTTTTCTTTTTCCCCCAGGATTATTATCCAAGAGGATTTAGACTTTGTTTAAAAAGGTATGAATTTTGTTTAGTCTGTATTCTTTCTTTTGCGGGCCACTGAAATAAGCTAAGTTTATATGTTTTGCCAGTTGCTCTGTTATATCAGATATTTTTCTGAAATAGAAAAAACAACACATCAAAACCTTTTTTTCCTTCCCTGTAATGAGTTGATAACTTTCCTTGTTTGTAAATACTGTTAGTGGTATAAAGTAGTGTAAGGGATATCACCTCCACCCCAGTATTCTTTATTGCTAGATTTTTCACAGCTTTTAATTTCTGTTCATCCTTTGCTGCGTTTTTTTATAGATCATGGAATTTTTGATCTAGAAGGATGCTAAATGCTTAAATATCTTTCAGATGCATCCCCTTTGTGACAGCATTGTATTACTTTTTAAATTAAATGCAGGTGTGTAATGGTTCAGGTTATATGAAGTTTTAATTTGAAGTCTGTTTTGCAAGATTGGCTGAAGGACTGGTACTGGGAAGATGCACAGGTGTTTAACGTATTTTCTTGAAGAATTCAGCTGCAACATCTGAAAGTATTTTGTATGGCAGTAACCTGAATTTTCTGTTCCTGAAGTCTGTTTTTAAAGAAATTGAAGCCTTGTTTGTTTTGTTATTCACCGTGAGTTAGGAAAGTGGTGTATATTCCCTCTAAACTCTGTGGAATGCCCTTGTGTGATTTCATCAGTAAATGGTTGAGACGTACAAAACCAAGTTTCCAGTGGTAAATTGGTCTTTTCTGATTAAGAATTGCATACAGCACAGTGTGAGGTGTGTAATGCAGTAACTTTTTTTTTTTTGATAGGCTTCTTTAGCCAAAAACTTTTTTTCCTTTCCTGAAAACTGATCTGGATCGTGAGATCTGCTGGGACATATATATGCATATATATTTACTTTCTTGTGGAAAATATAATTAGATTTTAATGACCTTCTAGTATATGATATGAACCAGATGATAATTAATTGTGTTAGCTAGGTATAGTTGTTAAATACCTTGTACCTGAAGACAGGAATTTTTATTTTGCTGTCCTGATGAAGTAATTCAAATGAAAGGCCTGTGGGATCAGGAAGTCTAGGAATAGTTTGGTTTGTTTTCAGGACTATGAAGACATAGCGAAATACTGTGTGGCTGTTTTCAGCATACAAATAAAAGAGAACAGCTTCTGAAGCAAGCACTCGAATGCTTTCTTTTGAATTCATTCTTCTCCTGGGATGTGAGAGGAAGCATATCTATCACATAGCATGGACTCATTATTTCAGTGTGATGCCTGACATGATTAAAATCCCTGTATCTTGGATATGCCATGTCAGAGGAGCTGCAGGGTTTGTGAATTAGAAGATTACAAGGTACAGGTTATTTAAAAAAAAGAGAAATCTGTATGGTTTTTGGCTTTCTCCCTGTCTGTGTTTGAGATCTCAGGAGAAGAGGGCATCGGGAAATATCTCCGGATAGTTGACTGTTTTTATGTGCTCAGTATCTCTCCTATGTATGATATATTGCAGGTATATGTAGAAATATATGTCACTTTGTGAGAACATATGCAGTAGATACTGGGCCTTGGTTTTGTATTCAAATGCTTACTAATACCGGTCTTCTCTAATGCTTCTTGAAGATGCCTGCTGCCTGTGATTCAGTGCTTGAAGATATTGAAGATATTGTGTCAGCAGAGGATTTGAAACCACACGATCGGCAATTTGTAAGAAAGAATGTTTTTCCAAAAGTGCGAAAACGCAATTCACGAAAAAATACTCAGACAGATGATGATCCCCCCAGTGACAGGTAAATTCTTCCATCAACCCTATCTTGTTGCTTTTCTCATATCTTACGTGCACTGTCAACTTCTAAAAAAAAGATTCTCATTATTTCATAATGTAAAGTCTGAATACAAGATAAAAAGAGTAAAATAGTGTTTATAAAATGTAGTGATAATGAATAACAAATCCTAAGCAAATTTCTTGTCCTAGATAAGCTTTCTCAGTCATAACTGATTTCTGCAGATACTGATTAATGTAGTAATCAGACAGGAAAAATAGTTCCTGTTACTTAAGCTTTTATGTGTAAAACATTTCTGAAAAATTCTATGCTTCTCCCTAATTACCTAAATAGCATCTGAGCTCTTCAAAATCAGTCCTGGAGTAGCCTTTTGACATCTGGAAGGAGAAATATAAACGAAATTCTGAGTATCACAAAAGGGTCGAGGTGGGAAGGGACCTCTGGAAGTCATCTTGTCCAACACCTCCTGCTCAAGCCGGGCCACCTAGAGCCAGCTGCCCAGGACTGTGCCGAGATAATTTTTGAAGATCTCTAAAGAGGGAGCCTCCACCACAACCCTGGGCAGCCTGTGCCAGCGCTCGGTCACCCTCACGGTGGAAAAGTGTTTCCTGACGTTCAGAGGGAACCTCCCGTGTGCCAGTGTGTGCCCACGGCCTCCTGGCCTGTCACTGGGCACCCGTGGAAAGAGCCTGGCTCCGTCCTCTCTGCCCCCTCCCTTCAGGTATTTGTGTGCCCTGATGTGATCCCCCTGAGCCTTCTCTCCTCCAGGCTGAACAGCCCCAGCTCTCTCAGCCTTTCCTCTTATGAGAGGTGCTCCAGTCCTTTAGTCATCTTCGTGTCCCATTGTTGGACTGTCTCTAGTACATCTGATATCTCTCTTGCTGGTGCATCCCATCAGGGCCCAGGGACTCGGGTATGTCCAGTTGCTTAAGTATTCCCTGACCTGATCTTCTTCCACCAAGGGTACATCCTCCTTGCTTCCGTCTTTCCACCTGATTTCTGGAACCTGGGATTTCCAAAGGCTGTGCTTTTTGTGTGTGTCATCCTGCAAGTGATAATAGTGAAACTTCTTTAGAACTTACTGCTTTATTTCAGTTGAAATAGTGTGCAATAACTACAGCATGTATCTCTGCATTTTTCCTTCTTGTGATTCCCATAAGAACAGAATCAACTTTCTGCTGCAGTGGAATTGATGAAAGAATAGCTGAACTCAATTACTGATTCTAGTTTCTACAGCAGTTCAGAGATCTGGATTTTTATTTTTTTTTTTCCTATTAATTTAAAGCTGATAGATAAAATTTCCCTGCACTATAAAGGTGAAAATAAAGCACATCTGGAATGCACAGGAAATTCAATTTTGGTTTTTGTTTCAAAAGAGATTTTATAAGCATAACAACACACCTTTATGTGAAGCACCGTAAAGGTGCATTGATGCCAGGAGCTGTATGTACAGCTGAACTGGTGGTCTCTAGATACTTCACACTAGCACTTCATTCTCCGAAGTATTCAGGTACTATATATTATCTAACAGGATGTATTTTAGTGTTTTTGACCCAAGAAAGCACATAGAATGTATTGTGTTTAGACAGTGGGAAGTCTAAACGCAGTGTATATGAGCAACATGTGTTGAACATATCTACTTAATGATCATTAATCTTCCATCTACAAATTTCTATTTCTATCTAGGGGAAGTATCTTTAAAAAAAGAAGTGCAAGGGCAGATTAAAAAAAAAAAAAAAAGAAAAAAAAAAACCACCAAAAAAAAAAACCCAACCAAACAAACCAAAACCAAATGTGGGCGGTGCAAAGGATTGTGTTCCAGGATATGTTATTCCTGTATTGGCATCTTTAGCTTATTGGCATAGTTATCCCAGGAGTTTCAATAACAGCTTCTTGCAGAATTTTTTGTTGGTTCTTAAACCAGAA